GGAACTTAAAAGGTACATGGAACCAACGAAGTTATGTTGGCGACGTAGTAGACTTTGACATTTTAGCTGAGGACTTATGATTATTGATTGGATAAAGGATGGTTAGGCAGAACCCAGAGTTCTGCTTCATATGTCCAAAGTTATTGAAATTTTGTCTTTTATCGAGTTAGCTGAATTTTGAAAAAAGGTCACCATGTAGATATATCTAGCTATCTATACATCTGTCTACCTGCCTGCCTGTCTTTCTGTCTGTCTGTCTGTCTGTCTGTCTGTCTCTCTCTCTCTCTCTCTCTCTCTCTCTCACTCTCTCTCTCTCCCAACTTCATTCTCAAGTTTGTTTTGTTGTCAATAGTTCAATACAAATTACAACAAATATTTTCTTGAGTCCACTTTTTTCTGAACCTTTAGGCTACCTGGAGGAGCAGACTCTTCCATATTTTACAATGTTAAATTAAATAAGGTTTTGATTGAGATTAAAAAGTCAGCGTCATAAGCGGGATTCGAACCCACGAACCCATGACCTTCGGCTAAATACACCGCTTCTCTACTATTTGAGTTATCGATCCACTCGGACACCAACTTCCCATCTCAACCCCACCTTTTGATTTTTTCCTCCTTTTTGCCATTTTTCAAATGTCGTGTAACCTGTTGGATTCTCGGTGACAAATGAAATGGCGAAAGTGGTAGAGCAGCGGCGCATTTTGCCGAAGGTCGTGGGTTCGAATCCCGCTTGTGACGCTGACTTTTTTATCTCGACCAAAACCTTAATTAATTGAATAGAATTTATTTGGTCAAGTGGACGATGAAACCTAATAAAATCTATTTTACAATCTTTCAATTAATTAAGGTTTTTAGTTTAGATAAAAAAAGGCAGTGTCACGAGCGGGATTCGAACCCACAATTTTCGGCTAGATACGCCCGTGCTCTACCACTTGAGCTATCGTGACCTCGATCCACTCGGACACTAACTTCTCAGCTCACGATACGTTCGAATCCCGCTCGTGACACTGACTTTTTTATCTCTAAAACTAAAAACCTTAATTAATTGAAGATATTAATTCGTCAAGCGGACCACGAGAACTAGTGCATTTTATTTATTTTTATTTTACAATGTTGAAGGCTAGGAAACTGAGGTCAAGAAGAGATTGCCTTCGATTGCGAGATTGCGATGAAAACTCTCAGCAATTTTTTGCTTGAGAAAATTGAAAAACTTGATGTTCCTGTAGCTCAGCAATGAGGAAGTGTTGAAGGGGTAAAATGTTTCATACAAATGAGGCCCAATTCTGGTAAAGCCGGACAACATTATTTATCATAAATGAATTATCCTTGGGCGGAAGTTTATCATTTGTATAAAGGCATTGGCAACTACACACTAAACTCCTCAAAAATTAATAGGGATATTTGTAATTTATTCTTATTCTAATAATTTTAATTAAATTAACCGATATATCCGTGTTATTTGGATAAAATAAAATAGAAAATACAAACCAAAACCAAACAAATGTTAATCCTCATTTTACTTAAGAATAGTAAACATGAAGATTACTCATTTTGTAAACAAACACCTTTTCTTGCCTTTTCTCGATTTTAATCCAGTTGTATACTCTTTAACGATGGAAAAACATCATCTTGAATCACAACTTCGCAATAGTATTGTGAGAATGAGTCATCGAGGTCACCGCCAAGTGGATATAGCAGAGGCAGTTGGCGTTTCTCAGACCATGGTCTCCCGAGAGACTGGAAGTGCCAAGAGGAGGCCTGGAGTGGATCTCAGCGCATTACGACGCTGAGGGAAGACAGAAAGATTGTCATTACTACAGGGCGGAACCCTTTCTATAGTGCCCACTAGATCCTAAATGTAGTACAACATGTTTTGGCAATGTCTTCATGAACAAATCGTTTGTGGGAAGGTCTCACTCATATCGATCGCCACTTTTAGACGACCTGCAGCAACAACCGAGAAGAGAACTCCAATTGGAATGCTGTTATGTTTATTGATGAGTCGCGTTTTGTCTTTTTAGTTAAAGCAGGCGCCGAAGTGTGTACCAAGAATAGGGGATGCCTTCAATGTCCCAGTTTGTACTCGGTTCATTGCAGTTTGGAGGAGGCTGTGTAATTGTCTGGGCAGGGATTTACATTGGAGTACGAACTGGACTCCATATTTTGAAGTCCGTTATGTCCAAGTATCAAGGAATATATTACTCATACCAGGGATCTCATTGGCAGGGATTATAATTTCTGGATCACAATGCCAGACCTCAAAGAGGCAGAGTTGTTCATCAATGTTTAGAAAACCTGGGAATTTCCTATCTGCCCCTTCCCCCAAACCTCAATCCCATTGAGAACATGTGGGATGCATTGCAGAGCAGGCTTTTCGATGTCCATCCGCAGTCGCTGGACAACCCCCGCAACAACTGAGTGGAGCGTTGGGTCCATGGAGTGAAATTCCTTATGAAATTAGTGACAACTTTATTAACAGTATGCCTAACAAATGCACAGAAGTCTTAGGTAACAGAGGACATTATACACGCTATTCATTTTTTAAAAATATTATTGTATTCAATGAACAAAATTATGGATTTAAAACGTTTTATTTTGTTATTTTTCAAAATCCTTTAATTAAATTTTTCTTCAGTAAAAAACATAATAATTTCTAATACATTTTATTGGAATTTATAATAAAAATCAAATAAAACTGCTAGAGAAAGTAAATACTACATAATTGGCAATATCAAATATTCATTTTTTTGAGCAATTTAGATAATAGGCATGGCCATCGCCCACAAAATGTTGGGATTAATGGTCCGATGAAAAATACAGGGCTTATATTCCATGCTATATAATATTTTACGTTTATACATGTTAACGTACTTTAGTTGCGGACTAATCGATCCAACAAATTAGAAATGCAAGATTTGAAGTCTTGTTGGGCGCTGACACACGGAGCGGTTTTACTATTGTAGGTTGTGACACATGCAGCGGTATGATGTGCGTTTTGGCCGAAGCGGTTTTGTTTTCTCTCAGTTATTAAATATATCCTACAGCAGTGCATATAAGCATTGAACGTCGCAAGGTGTTATTTTGCAGTTTGTATAACAACTGTTTAATAAATATATTGTTCTGTAACTGTATGTAACTTCGTGTATTAGTTACAGCCTTACAGACCATTCCCCCATGTAGTACTCTTTTTTTTTCTTTGATGAACATTCCATGGAACTGGCTACAAAGTGAAATCTCACAGTTATCTACACACTACGTCTCGTTCGGTTTTCTTTTCTCTATGAAGTTTTGAAAAATAGTCTTTAAAAATAAATATTTAAGTTGATTTATATTTA